TTGAAGCAGGGTCTCCCTGTAGCCCCAGCTGTCCTGGAACTCACTATGTAGACCAGGCTGGCCTTGAACTCACAGAGATCTGCCTGCCTCTGCCTCCCAAGTGCTGGGACTACAGCTGTGCGCCACCACGCCCGGCTCAAAATAATGTAATTTTTAAAAGTCACATTATCAGGAGGCTGCTGTTGCTGCTGAGGAGCCCTGCTTAGCAGAGCCCATGACGACACCTCCACTCACTGCAGCCTGCCTGAGTTCTCCCAAGATGCAGCATGGCTGAGTGTCAGGCTTCAAGAGCCTCATGGTTGAGAGGTGTGGGAACAGGCTCTGAAGGGGGGCGCTCCCCTAAAAGGCACCAAGCTCCCACTTCGTTTGCACTTTGTAGACAGGTGTAGAATCAAGTGCCTGCCTGGCACCATCACCCAGGATGTTCACCATACTATCCTGGTATGTCCAGGAAACAAAGTCACAGAGAGGGCAGTTCACTCAGCAGAGGTCACACAGCATGCAAGTTGCACAGGTAGATCCAAACACAGAGCCACCTCCCCCGGCCCATCTTGTGCCTGGTGCCACACCATACAGCACCAGCTCCTGGGGAGAACAGTTCCAGAGCTCCATCAGTACCAGTTTGAGCTTCCTCGGACAGTTCAAAACAGATGGAATGTGACCGGACAGTTGTACACCTATAGATATCCACAGAGTGAGATGGGCCGGGGAGAGGGCTCCATTGCTGAGAGCACCTGCTCTGCAAATGAAGACCCGAGTTCAAATCCCCAGCATCCACATCACAGCCAGGCATGGCCATGAATGAACCCCAGCCTAGGGGGCAAAGATTGATGGATCCTGGGAGTCTGCTGGCCAGACAGCCTGACTGAGACGGGGAGCTTCCTGTTCAGTGAGAGACCCTGCCTCATGAGAGATAGAGGAAGACACAGGAAGGCCTGCCCTGGCCTTGACTGATATATATACACAAGGGCATCTGTGAACTCACTTGCATGTTCCACAGACACCGGGGGGTGGGGGAGGCGGGGAAAGAGAGAGCGAGAGAGAGGAAGGGAAGGAGGGAGAGAGCAAGTGAGGTGGGGGCGGGGATGAATCAAGACAAATGCCCCACAGCATTCACAGGGGAAACCCAAGGGTCCTTCGGCACATGAGCAGATAAACAGCGGACCACCACAGCCTCCCTGGTCCCCCATCTGGGTACTGTCCTAGTTTCCTTTCTGTTCCTGTGGTAAACTACTCTCACCAAAAGCAGTCCCGGGAGGAAAGGGTTTATTTGGCTTCCACTTCAGGTCAGTCCATCACTGAGGTAAGTTAGAGGAACTCAAGGGAGGAACCTGGAGGCAGGAACCGTGCAGAAACTGCTGGCTTCCTTCCAGGCCAGGTGCAGCCAGCTTTCTTATACAGCCCAGGCCCACACACCTAGAGATGGCACTGCCCACCGTGGACTGGGCCCTCCTATTTCAGTATTCAGTACAATCCCCCACAGGCCAATCTAATCTAGAAAATTCCTCAATTGAGGTTCCTCCTTCCTAAGTAACTCTAGGCTGTTTCAAGTTGACAATAAAAACTAACCAGCACCCATGGTTCCATCACAGTCCTAATCCTTGTATCCACAGCTCCATCACAGCCAGCCCTGACCTCCCATATCCACACTTCCATCACAGCCAGCCCTGGTCCCCATATCCACACTTCCATCACAGCCAGCCCTGGTCTCCCATATCCACACTTCCATCCCAGCCAGCCCTGGTCCCCATATCCACACTTCCATCCCAGCCAGCCCTGGTCCCCATATCCACACTTCCATCACAGCCAGCCCTGGTCCCCATATCCACACTTCCATCACAGCCAGCCCTGGTCCCCATATCCACACTTCCATCCCAGCCAGCCCTGGTCCCCATATCCACACTTCCATCCCAGCCAGCCCTGGTCCCCATATCCACACTTCCATCCCAGCCAGCCCTGGTCCCCATATCCACACTTCCATCCCAGCCAGCCCTGGTCCCCATATCCACACTTCCATCCCAGCCAGCCCTGGTCCCCATATCCACACTTCCATCCCAGCCAGCCCTGGTCCCCATATCCACACTTCCATCCCAGCCAGCCCTGGTCCCCATATCCACACTTCCATCCCAGCCAGCCCTGGTCCCCATATCCACACTTCCATCCCAGCCAGCCCTGGTCCCCATATCCACACTTCCATCCCAGCCAGCCCTGGTCCCCATATCCACACTTCCATCCCAGCCAGCCCTGGTCCCCATATCCACACTTCCATCCCAGCCAGCCCTGGTCCCCATATCCACACTTCCATCCCAGCCAGCCCTGGTCCCCATATCCACACTTCCATCCCAGCCAGCCCTGGTCCCCATATCCACACTTCCATCCCAGCCAGCCCTGGTCCCCATATCCACACTTCCATCCCAGCCAGCCCTGGTCCCCATATCCACACTTCCATCCCAGCCAGCCCTGGTCCCCATATCCACACTTCCATCCCAGCCAGCCCTGGTCCCCATATCCACACTTCCATCCCAGCCAGCCCTGGTCCCCATATCCACACTTCCATCCCAGCCAGCCCTGGTCCCCATATCCACACTTCCATCCCAGCCAGCCCTGGTCCCCATATCCACACTTCCATCCCAGCCAGCCCTGGTCCCCATATCCACACTTCCATCCCAGCCAGCCCTGGTCCCCATATCCACACTTCCATCCCAGCCAGCCCTGGTCCCCATATCCACACTTCCATCCCAGCCAGCCCTGGTCCCCATATCCACACTTCCATCCCAGCCAGCCCTGGTCCCCATATCCACACTTCCATCCCAGCCAGCCCTGGTCCCCATATCCACACTTCCATCCCAGCCAGCCCTGGTCCCCATATCCACACTTCCATCCCAGCCAGCCCTGGTCCCCATATCCACACTTCCATCCCAGCCAGCCCTGGTCCCCATATCCACACTTCCATCCCAGCCAGCCCTGGTCCCCATATCCACACTTCCATCCCAGCCAGCCCTGGTCCCCATATCCACACTTCCATCCCAGCCAGCCCTGGTCCCCATATCCACACTTCCATCCCAGCCAGCCCTGGTCCCCATATCCACACTTCCATCCCAGCCAGCCCTGGTCCCCATATCCACACTTCCATCCCAGCCAGCCCTGGTCCCCATATCCACACTTCCATCCCAGCCAGCCCTGGTCCCCATATCCACACTTCCATCCCAGCCAGCCCTGGTCCCCATATCCACACTTCCATCCCAGCCAGCCCTGGTCCCCATATCCACACTTCCATCCCAGCCAGCCCTGGTCCCCATATCCACACTTCCATCCCAGCCAGCCCTGGTCCCCATATCCACACTTCCATCCCAGCCAGCCCTGGTCCCCATATCCACACTTCCATCCCAGCCAGCCCTGGTCCCCATATCCACACTTCCATCCCAGCCAGCCCTGGTCCCCATATCCACACTTCCATCCCAGCCAGCCCTGGTCCCCATATCCACACTTCCATCCCAGCCAGCCCTGGTCCCCATATCCACACTTCCATCCCAGCCAGCCCTGGTCCCCATATCCACACTTCCATCCCAGCCAGCCCTGGTCCCCATATCCACACTTCCATCCCAGCCAGCCCTGGTCCCCATATCCACACTTCCATCCCAGCCAGCCCTGGTCCCCATATCCACACTTCCATCCCAGCCAGCCCTGGTCCCCATATCCACACTTCCATCCCAGCCAGCCCTGGTCCCCATATCCACACTTCCATCCCAGCCAGCCCTGGTCCCCATATCCACACTTCCATCCCAGCCAGCCCTGGTCCCCATATCCACACTTCCATCCCAGCCAGCCCTGGTCCCCATATCCACACTTCCATCCCAGCCAGCCCTGGTCCCCATATCCACACTTCCATCCCAGCCAGCCCTGGTCCCCATATCCACACTTCCATCCCAGCCAGCCCTGGTCCCCATATCCACACTTCCATCACAGCCAGCCCTGGTCCCCATATCCACAGTTCCATCACAGCCAGCCCTGGTCCCCATATCCACAGTTCCATCACAGCCAGCCCTGGTCCCCATATTCACAGTTCCATCACAGCCAGCCCCGGTCCCCATATTCACAGTCCCATCACAGCCAGCCCTGGTCCCCATATTCACAGTCCAATCACAGCCAGCCCTGACCTCCCATATCCACAGTTCCATCACAGCCAGTCCTGGCCCTCTGTATACACAACTGTACCACAGCCAGCCCTGGTCCCCCGTATCCATGATTGCATCACAGCCCTGTTCCCTGTATCCATGGTTCCACATCCAGGATTCAGCCGATGTGGGTGAAAGAAAACCTCTGCTGCTGACGTTTTGTGCAGTCAGATCACATTTCTTACCACATACCTGACAACCAAATCCTTTCTGGGAGGCCCCTGGGCCCCTGGCCAGAGGGCATGGCAGGTCCAGTGGGACTCGTCTGAGTCTTCCTTGTGGCCAGGTTGGAGGTAGGCAGAGGGTCCACCCTGCACCCTGGACCAGGCAGGCCAGTGTAGACCCTTCTAGCTATGCCACAGTTTAAAACATCAGAGAGGAAGTGGAAAGGGAATCCAACCAGATCTGGTCCCATGCCGGATCTTGCAGGACAGGTGGCCTTGCCATCCCCAGCCTCAGAGGCCTCCCTTGTAAAACCAATGAGGACATTACTCGAGGGCAGCCACACACACAGGGCTGCAAAGTCTGTTCATGAGGGTACAAGCTGGCAAGCCACAGAGGCCAAGAGAGGTTTTGGGCTGCCTGGGGCCTGAGCACAGGCACAGGGTGGAGAAGCACTGACAGGCACACTAACGGACATGGAACCTTCTGGAGGTGATGGGAGTGCAGTGTCCCTGCTCTACTGAAGCAGACTGAGCAAACCTGTCCTGAGCAGAAGGCCCTGGGTGTCACCTGGCGAGGAAACCAGCTCAAGTCTATTGCAGCCCCAAGGGATACCCCGATCTCCTGGGCTCCCCCAGTGTCCTCATCTGATGCCTTTCGTTCCCAAAGTCTCAGCCCCGTCTCCCTATTCTGAATTGAGCTGTATCTACCCAGGAAGGACAGGCTGAAGTCCAAAGCCCCAGGGCCGCCTCTGCACTGCACCTGGAAGTGATTCTGCACATCTTCGGAAACTAAGAGACACAGGCTGGTGCAGTCGAGCGCACACTAACCGATGGGCCCAGCTGGGTCCTTGTTGGAAGAGGGAATTTGAACAGACACCCACAGGACAGGCATTGGCCATGCGGCCAGGAATGCAGAGTGATGTGACATCTCTATAAGCCAGGGGCACCACGGTCCACCTGCGGTCACCAGAGGAGAACAGCAAGAACATTCCAGAGCTCCCTGAGGGAGTGTGGGCCACCACACCTCTGGTTCAGACTTCCGGCTCCCAGAACAATGAGTTTCTGTTGTCCTGAGCCTCCAGCTGGTGGTAACTTGTCAGAGTCCTTCCTCACATGGTCCCAGAAGCTGTGGGGGGAGCAGAGCCCACCCGGGCAGCTGGCAGGCAGGATCGCCTGTTTCCCCACCCCCTTCACAATGAGAGGGACCTACATGGGTCCTCTGGCCAGATGCAGGAGTTGTGGGTCAGCCCAGAGGCCTCTCAGAGCAGCTCTACCACAGCCACTGACGTGCTCTGCCCAAAGATGAAGGTGCCAACCAGCACAGAGAGCACGCCCCAGGCCTCCAGGCAGCACCTGCAACACAACACGCTTGGTCACACACGGCTGGTGGCACTGCACACAGCCAGGCCCAGTCAGTGCTACTGAGCCACAAGTGTCAGTTACAGAAAACTCTCTTTTTTCCTTTACCTGCAGGGACCACAGGAAATACAGCCCCCGTGCTTGCTTTTAAATCCTGTTCACCTTATCTCTTACTGCAATAACTTACCCTTCTCCTCAATCTTATCAAATAAAAATAAGTGGGGAAAGGGAGGCACAACTTTAAGCCCTCTCTTTTCTGCCCCTGTCCCCATATCTGCTGGAACACTCTAGAAGTGAAGGAAGAGATCAAACGCCAACCACACACAGGATAGCAGTAAGCTGGGCAGGACAGGACAGAGGTGGCTGAGGCAGGGGCAGGCAGCACATGGCAAGGCCACCAGAGACATCACTGCCTGTTACTATAGGCTGGAGGGACCTGTCACCAAAAGGGCATCTCTGACTAAGCAGTGTCTGCATCTCCACAAACCCTTGGGACACAGCACCACTTGGAGCCATGCTAATGGAACAGGAAGGACCAAGAGTGGTTTCGGAAAGAAAACCATCTTATTTTGAAAGCCTATCAGTGAACCATGCTGGGCTTGGACAAACAGATTTCACAGAGCACTCCAGGGGATGAGCCCCTGGAGGTGGGGGGGGCAGGCAGATTAGAGATGTCCACAGGCCCAGCTGCTCCTCTGGAAAAACAGACCTGGGGTTGGAGGATGAGTACCAGGTACAGGCCTGGAGGGGGCACCTATATTCATGGTTGTATAACCCATGTGCATCTGAACTGGGCTGGGCAGTGCCCCACAGTGCACATCCTCCTGGGACTGTGGTCCTATCCCCAAACAGCTCTGTTAACGGGGCAGCAATATCTCTAGTGCCCCTGCCATTTGCTGGGAATCTCCATGGCTGCCTGTCCCTGCCCCAGCCACCTCTGTCCTGTGCCCCACATCATTAAGTGCAAGGTGCTAGGGCCCGAGTCCACAGGCAGGTGTCCTTCTAAGAGAAGAGTGGGGAGAGGCTTGAGGTCCAGGGCTGAGAAAGGCCATATAAAGATGAGGCGGAGGCTGAGAGCCTGGAGCACCTGGAAGCTAGCCGGGACGAAGATAGCCCAGCCCTGCCCACAGCCACTCTCAGGTCTGCCTCTGGAGTTGGCATCCTACCACTTTACACACAGTTAGGATGGCAGTAAGCTGGACTGTGGTCAATGGCTGCAGAAAGCTACTGCCCATCCCTGCAACCTGCCTCAGTGTGTCTCCACATCTGTGCGATGGTTATGGGGGGTAAACATGGGGGCTAAGGAGTCTGAGCTTGGACTGGCTCTGGCCTCATTGGCCTCCTGAGCCACTCCTTGTCTATAGGATGGAGACTCCCTGGAACCTGGGGAGAGGAACGAGAGAGAGCCTGGCATAGAGGACCCCCAAAGGACCTCCTACCATGATGACAGCATGTGGGCTGGGTCCTGCCACCTCCCAGGCCTCTGTGACTCAGGACCAGCCTGTGCCCTGCATCTGAGCCAAGTTTCAAGGGAACAGAGCAACAGGCCACTGATGGAAAGGCTCCCAAACCCCAGGAAGTTCCAGCCACAGCCCCTCAAAGGTGGACAATGATGGAGTATGGCAGGCAGGGGATCTCCATGTTCCTACCTCTCCATGGCCAAGGCCCTCCCACCACCTGCAGCTTCTCTTCTGCAGACTGAGGAGGGCACAGCATTCGAACTCCTGGCCCCTGGTCCCACCCCAGGTGCCACCCTCATCTTGGAGACACTCACTTGACTCTTGGTCCTATGGGCTCTGTGTTCATAGCACAGATGAGGCACAGACCTGCAAAGGAGACACAGGGTCACCCCAGCTCTCCCTCACAGAATCGGAGGTGCCAGGAGCCACAATGGGAGTCGTCGGTGTCCTACAGGCCTCAGAAGCATCCTTCTGGGAAAGGTGGTTCTGCTCAGTGGTTAGGAGCCAGCTTGGAGTTAGGGAGACCAGTGGGAGCCCCAACTCAGCACTCCCAAAGTGACTCGGCCAGACTCAGTCCAGGGAGTTGAGGAGGCAGGCACCATGCCACCCATCAACTCCACCCAGAACAATCTAGAACCAGAGTCAATGGTGGCACTATCTCCACTCTCCAGCCCTGGCATGGTACGTGTCCTATAGGGCTGCCAGTCCACTCACATTTCACATCAGGCTTATCAGCCAGCTTCCCGTCTGCCCTCACATCTGTTCATGAACCCAGGGCCCTCAGACCCATCTCATTTCCCCATTTAAGTTTGAGAAGTCCTTTAAAAGTTTCCCAGGGGCTGGGGAGATGGCTTAGTTGGTGGAGGGCTTTCTGCGCAAGCATGAAGCCCTGAGCTCAGATCCTCAGCACTCGTGTAAGAGCCAAGCATGGTGGCACATGTCTGCAGCCCTCATGAATGGGCACAGATAGTCACATCCTGGGAGCGCTCTGGCCGGCCCGCCTGACCTAACTGGAGAGTGAGAGACCCTGTCTCCAAAATAAAGTGAAGCGTGATGGAAGAAGATGCCTAGCATCAGTGCCCACATGCACATGCAGAGGAGGGCACACCTGTGCACACACGCATGTACATATGCATGTACACACGTGCACACACCACTTCCTTATTGGCTCTGCAACTTGCACCAACAGCTTGCTTCTCCACTATTTTGATAGAGGGGCTGGGTTGGGGCATCTGGCCATGGTCCCCTAAGTTCAACAGCTGCTTAATACAGTTTCCCCCACATCAGAATTGCAAGGTTCCTCCACGGTGCTAAGCACCTACTGTACACTTGGGATCACCCAGCTGAAGCCTGGAACTCCCTAGCCCTGAGGATGCAGGGCTTCCATTCTGGACCCCAGTGGGGGACCCCAGCACAGGCCCCCAGCACTCCTCGCTCTGAAGCAACCCTCCCACCTTGCCCTTGCTGGGTTTACCATCCAGGGAATGTACCTATTTCCTCTGGAACTTCTCACCACAGCCTGTGGACACTGGGAAAGTTCCATAAGAAACCATCCATCCAGAAGGTGGTGTCTGCCTCCTGGCTCTGGGACAGTGTCAGAGGGGGTGTGCTTGGCACACACACCCTTTTGCATCCTTATCTTTGTGAGTTTCACACACACTGTATTTAAAAACAATGAACCAGTCCTGCGGCGGGAACAGTGGCACCAGGAGGATTCCTTGCCCTGCCACAGGTCAGCTGTGTTCCGGGCCCTGGGCCCCTATCTTTCCATCTGTGGGATGGGATAACACAGTACATCCACCAAGGACTACTGGGCTGCTGAGCGAAGGAAGGTCTGGGAAGCCTGGCTCAGTAACCCAGGCCCTAGTCCAACCACATGGGAGTCCCATCTACAGATCCTTGGCCTTGACACAGGGAGTCCCTGCAAATGCAGCCTGCCTAAGGACGAGCCCTGGGCAGCTGGGAAGTGGCCACTCACCGGGGAAGATGAAGATGAAGAAAGAGCTGATGCCACCAATGATGCTAATGATCTCGCTGAGGTCGGGTAGGAACAGGGCCATGGCCAGCGTCACCGACACCCATAGGAGAGTCAGCGGCAGCCGAACCCACGGCCCTGAGGGGTCAGCCAGCACTGGGGGCCCCCGTGTGCCCCAGTAACTCCTCTTCCAGAAGTCCTGCATCACAGACCTGCAGAAACACAGACACCAGAGCTCAGGAGTGTCCATGGCTGCCAACCTCCTGGCCTCCACAGGTCCCCAACACTACAGAGTCCTGCTCCACACCCAGAGGTGTGCTCCCCAGGGCACCCCGCTCCACACCCAGATGTGTGCTCCCCAGGGCACCCCGCTCCACACCCAGAGGTGTGCTCCCCAGGGCACCCCGCTCCACACCCAGATGTGTGCTCCCCAGGGCACCCCCAGCCTCAGGGGTCTGCAGGGTGGGCGGTAGGGACGTCAAGGTTCCAGGCCGGCTTCTGATGCTTATTTGATAGGCAACTTGGAGCAAACCCCCTAAACTTCCTGTGCTCATGTTTCCCCCTCTGTCCATCAGAGGTGACCTCAGCCCCACAAGTACACACACATTCCCGCACATTGTAAAACACAACCTTAGATGCACCGAGTTGAACAATGTCCCTCACCTCCCCAGAAACAGCACAATGGGGTAGACGGTCACAATGGAGACAGTGAACAGAACGCGGGCCACAACAATGGCCAAGTCGTTGCCTGGGTAGGACATCAAGATGTCAGCAGAAACTTCCGTCCCAAAGGTTAGGAAGCCAAACACCCCTGCAGGTGGGAAGATGAAGGTGGGCAGATGCCATTAGAAAAATGTGCTCCCTTCCCCTACAGCACCCTAAGGGTTTCCTTCGTATAGTTGGAAGGTTCTGGAAGGGTTCTTTTTTCTGCATCCTAAATCTGCATATTGCTGCCCTCCCGGCCAGCCCTTCTGCAGACTAGCTGGTCACTCGGGGCTGGCACCAGGCTCACTAGGTGAGCATTGACTAGAAATACATCTCCCATGTCCCAGCTCAGGGGACAGCAAGGAGGCAGCCAAGGAAGCAGCTGGTAACACACCCATTTTTCAGATGGGGAAAACCAAGACCTGTCACCTGTGGCCTAGAGCTGTGGCCTTCTAGGTGTCTCTAAGGCCTTTCTAGAAGGTCCTGTGATCTGCTGACCCTGGTACCAGGGATATCTAGAGATGATAAATACCAGCCTGGGGGGTGGGCAGACTCACAGGATACCCCAGGCTGGTTCTTCCTTACAGGCTTCTTAGGGGACCCCAGGAGTCCAAGACTGCCCAGCAGATTCACTGCAGACCAATGCCTTCCAAATCAGAGACTCCAATAGATGGAGGAAGGAAAGGACCACTAGGCTAGACATGGCCACTAACAGTCAGCTCATACCGAGCCCTGGGTCTGTACCGCATGCCGGGATCTTGGACCAGTCACAGCCCCACTCTGAGCCCCACTTACCACCTCTGATGGCCTCTGCCTACCTCAGTCTATGAGCACTCAAAGCCATTATATCTACACAAGTGTTTCATAAACCACCACCCGACGTCACACTCCTAAGTCCCTTGCCTCAGAACAGTGACAGGCGCCATGTGCAAGGGCAGGGGCTGGGGACAGTCAGAGCGTGGGCTCAGCTTTGCACATGATTGTGATACCTTGGAAAAGCCACAGGAAGCCCCCGAGTCTCCATTTCCCCATCTGTGACCTTTTCCTAGGAGATGCTAAGGATTAAGTGAAGGTGTTCAGAGCCTGCAGCATAGTGCCCAGCACAGGGCAGGCTTGTGAGAGATGCTTGCTCCCCTTCCCACGGCCACCCCCACACCTCTGGGGCACCCCAGCAGGCCCTACCTGTCAGGGAGTAAACTAGGCAGCAGGCCAGCAAGGACAGCACAGAGACCAGGGTCCAGCGGGAGAGGGTCTGGTTCCACATGCTGCAGTAGATGGAGACGGCGGCCTCGTGACACTGGAAGGTGGAAGCCGAGGCTCAGCAAGACTCAGACCCGCCTGGGGTGACGGGTAAGTGTGAACAAGCAAATCACAGGGTGCTCATGGGCGGATTAGACAGCTCTCTAATGGACCAACCATGATTCCTAAGCTCAGCACAAAAGAATCTTATGAACACAGTGTAAGGTCAAATTAGAACCAATCAGGGGAGAAGGTCTGAAGTTCACGGTACAAGGCAAACACATTTTGAGCAGGGCCTTTGACACGGGTGTTGTGAGCACTTGGGGAGGGGATGGTTCCTGTCATGATGGCTGCCCTGTGCATTGGAGGGTGTTGAGCAGCATCCCTGGCCTGGACCGCTAGATGCCTACATAGGTAATAACCCAAAACATCTCCAGATGCCATCAGATGCCCTGGGGTACCCCTACATCTGTGGTTATTGAGGGCAGGGGTGGTTCAGGTAGGATGGGGTTCTGATGAAGAAAGTGATGAGGCCCCACTGGGAGCTGGTGAGGGTGTGTGAGGTCATGTGGGACTATCCAAACTTGTGGTTAATTTGAGCAATTTAAAGGTAATATGTTCAGGTACTGTGAGGTGGCTCAGAGAGTAAGGGGACTTGTACTCCTCCCCCCTGCCCACCACCATGGTCACTCACTGGACTTGAGCCACCCACTTCCCTCTGGGCAGACTCAGGGTCTTCCTTCTGGCTGGCATCTCTCCTAGAACTCCAGCCCACCCCTGTCCCAAGCAGAGCACTTTCCTCTTAGGAAAGTGGGGCATAGCCTGTGCCCCCACTGTGAGCAACTCTGACCCTGATGGTTTAGCCTCTGTCAACTATGTGGTCACCACCCCCAGCCAGCCATGCTGGGGTAACCCATAAACGTCCCTTGACTCCACTGGTGGTCAAAGGCCGCTGGCCACCAGCCCTAACCCTCTCTCTGCTCATGCTCGAATCTGTCTTGGGCTGAGATTGAGGGCACAGTGCTCCCTGGAGCACTAGAGTGTGTACAGATGGAACAGCATGTGGGCCTCACCCTTCCTGACCCAGCCTGGGGTAAGCACAGATTTACCAACCCTCACCCATGAGCCTGGGACAGCAATGTGCCCTCGCTGTCTGCCCTGGGCTTCTCTGACTGACAGGAGCTCCTGGCTGGTGGTAAGCTCAGCCAGGCAGTGGAGACGGCAGGATGCTGGACAAATCCTCCCTGCTGTGGGTAATGGCACTACTGTGTAGCCTGTCCTGAATGTGTGTCAGGATGGCCCAGAGGACCTACAGTAGCACTCATAGCAGAGACCTACTTAACATTTCCTGTCTCGCTTCAGTGGCTCCTGAAGAGACATCAGCATCCTGGCCTGTCACAGGAGCTGCTTTTAGGGGACCGCAGACAGTGCCCCATGGTGGGGATCTGGGAACCTCAGCTCTGTGGGCAGAAATGCAACCAGGCCCAATATGAGGCGAAGGTGCTTAGGGGTGCTGGGCCTACCCAAGAGCTCGCCTTTCCTATGCTCCCATTCAGACAGCTTCTGGGGGTATCCGGTGAAGCTCTTCAGTGAAGGGCAGTGTAGGGAGGAGACACATTAGCCAAGGGAGACAGGCCTCAGATCCACAGCTGAAGGAATGTTGGCCAGTCACATGGCCACACAGCGCAGGGCTCCATGTGTAGGGAAAACACGAAGCAGGGAGGTCCACAGAGACAGGGCAGAGCCATGCTCATCAGAGGCTAGGGGAGGAGGAGGCAGTGACCGTGCAAGCTGAGGTGGCTGTACCGCCCAGCTGACTACAGTCAGTCACTTTAGAATCCCTGCACTTGGGAGGCAGAAGCAAGTCAATCTCTGTGAGATTAAGTTCCAGACCAGCTGGGGCTACAGAGACGCTGTCTCATTAAAGGGGGCGGGGGCAGTTGGATGCTAAGGTGACTTGAACCTCAATACCATTGTATAAAAACAAAACCTAGAAGTGTCCGTGTGGCCAGGGTGGCTGGGGACAGAGACTGCAGCCCTCTGCTCCCCCAGAACCCTGGCTGCCCCCGTCCTGGCTGTGCTGTGGGTTACTGTATTGCTAAATGTGTTTAGGGGAGGGGTGGTGTGTTTGATTCCTGTCAGAGCTGTGCTGACCATAAATCCAGCTGCTTACCCTTCCTCACAGCCCACCAAGCTCCCATCTCCATCTTCGCTTATCCCCTCGGACCCCTGACTCTCCACACCAGACCCCACACCACCTTTGGCCTGAGCCCCACCCTCACACTCGGATCCCGTAGGTCCTCGGCCCCGCATCACAGCAGTCTTGGAAACCCTGGAAACCTGCCTGGTTGCTAGAAGCAAGGAGGGAGCTGAGGTCAAGGTGAGGCCAGCAAGCACTTGGAAGGGGCCGGCACAGGCTGCCTTCCTCTCCACACTGACTACCAGACACCAGCTGAAAGCAAAATCAGCCCACCCAGCCTTCAAACATCAGCTGTGAGAAGCCCCATGAACTCACAGAGCCCCCAAAGTGACACGGAGTCAGTTATCAGTATGAAAAATGGGAGTTTCAGGGTTTAGTCAAAAACAGTTCTGAAGGCTGGAGAGCGGCTCAGTGAAGAGCACTGACTGCTCTTACAGAGAACCTGGGTTCGAGTCCCAGCTCCCACATGGCGACTGTCAACCATCAGTAACTCCAGTTCCAGGGGCTCCGACGTCCTCTTCCGAGGGCATTGCAAGACACGGGTACACTCACATACATGCAGGAGATGCACTCATACACATAAAATAAGAATAGGAAAATATTTTAAAATATATATATATTAAAAAAAAAAAACAGTTCTGAGGACTGGCGAGATGCTCAGCAGTTAAGAGCACTGACTGCTCTTGCAAAGGACCTGGGTTTGGTTTCCAGCACTGGCTAATAATCATCTGTAACTCCAGTTCTGGGGAATCCAACACTCTTTTGGCCTCCATGAGCATGACATGAGTACACTTACATACATGCACAGGATGCACTTACATACATGCACTCATACACATAAAAAAATTTTTTTTTCTTTTTTGAGACAGGGTCTCCCTCCAGTCCCAGCTGACCTGGAACTCACTACATAGACCAGGTTGGCCTTGAACTCACAGAGATCCCCCTGCCTCTACCTCCCAAGTTCTGGGATTAAAGGCATGTGCCACCACACCCAGCCTATAAAAAAATATTTTTAAAAACACTTTTGAAGGCCCCAGAGATGACTCTGGGGTTAAGAGCACTGGCTGCTCTTGCAGAAGATGGGGTTTGATCCCCAGTACCCACTTGGCAGCTCACAACCATTTGTAACTCCAGTTCCAGGAGATCCAGAGCCCTCTTCTGGCCTCTAGGAGCATTGTACACACACGGTGCCCTTACAAATATGCAAGCAAAAGTTTCATACACATTGAATAAAAATTCATTACTTAAAAAAAAAGTTCTGAGGTGCTGGAGAGATGGCTCAGTGGTTAAGAGCACTGACTGCTCTTGCGGAGGACCCAGGTTCGATTCCCAGCACCCACATGGTGGCTAACAACCATCTGTAACTCCAGTTCCTGGGGAATCTGACGCCTTCTGACCTCCAAGGGCACTGCACGACATGGGTGCACTTGCACACATGCAGACAATACACTCACACACATTAAAAAAAAATCAATTCTGAAAGAAGGTGCTGAAGAACGGGGTGGAGGGTGCGGGAAGGAGGCACACAGGCTGAGGTGCCATTGCAACTCTAGGGTGAGTTCATGGTGGGTTGTCTTTAAGACATCGAGACAAATCTTCCCTAAAGTGAACTATGGAAGGCCCTGAGAGCACCAGCTGGTACAGTAGAGAATCCGATCCAGCCCCTCAGAGATGAGCAAGGATTAGGCCCTCTGCTCCCCCAGCGGGTTCTGTTTCCCCTGAGCCCTCTAAGGATTTCCAGGGCTTTCTCACCTTTTATGCTGTGGTCTCTATCTGGAAGGTGTCTCCTTCACCTGGCCACCCCCAATCTGGTCCCTCCACATTCCTTTCCAAGCTGACACTTGCAGGGATCATCCCTGACTCCCCTCTGCTGGGATTCTACACAGAATAGTGACTTCACTCCAGTGACACTGTATCGTGATTCTGCCTGTCTGGTCCCCTGTCTCTGCCCGTCAGCTTCCTGTTCTCCCTTCCCTCTAGGTGACAAGCCTTTCAGTATGAAGTTTGCTCTTCTCCAAGGACCAAGACAGAAGCCACCTGGTCTGCTGGCATTTGTGCTGGGGTCTAAGTCCCCAGGCACAGTGGCAGTTCTGTGAACATTCTGCAGGGAGAGACATGCCCAGGTCCCCTCTGACTAGACCCACCAACACATGCTGCCCATGCTGTCATTGAGCCCAAGTTCATTGACAGCCCAGATGTCACACTTGTACAGTCTCTGGAAGATGGCCCCAGGCCAGAATTAGATCCTCCAGCTTCACCCCAGCAGGGAAGCTGTGCTCTCCTGAGGGAGCCGGAGACTCTGAAAATGGCACATTCTAAACATACCTGGAAGCCGAAGCAGATAGTAGGGAAGACACTGAACACTGAGGTCCAGGAGGCAGGGCTGCGAACAGACGGGAGCAGGCATGCATTAAGGAAAAGTCCAACTCACAACAGCCTTCAGCTGGAGAGTGAAGTGTGACTGCAAGATGTGTTTTGAATGGCTGAGTCTGAGCAGGCTCTGGGCTGGAAAGGAAGCTCATTAAATGCTACATTTTCTAAATACATCTCTGTTGACATTTGATGACATGACACTCCGTGTGGGTGGGATTTGGTTGAGACAAAAGCAAGACAAAGCCCCCACCATCACAACACAGACCTCCCCTCCCAAGGTTCAGGCACGCATCATCCAACATATCCCCCCAAATGTAAGGATGGCATGCCCTGTGTCCAAGCCACCTCGGGACAGTTGTGCATAGACAAGACCTTCAGGTCAACCCCCTACTCTCTATCTCTCTCCCCTCCCTCCCTCCCTCCCTCTCTCTCCTGCCTGGTGGCCCATTTGCTTTGATAAGCAGCTCTCTATGCCAACAGGCACCTACGGGTACACACAGCAAAGAGGACCACGAATCTAGTATAGAGAAACAGCCCCAAAACATTCCAGTCCTGATAATACCCAGGAATGTATAAACACTTTCCCTCGGGGGCAAAGGGACTGTGCAGATGGGGCTGTGGACAAGGAGAATGTCTGTCCTGGGTCATCGAGGTGAGCCCACTGCGTCACAGGGGCCTTGTAACCAGTCTCACACTGCATGGCAAAGGCGCTGTGATCATGTGCACAAGTTGGGGCTACCACATGGCTGGCTTGGGAGGAGGAAGGGTCACAAGCCAAGCACTGTGGGAAGTGGCTAGAGTAGGGAAAAGCAAGAGACAGGCTCTGCCGGACTCCAAAGCAGCAGGCCCACCATGCCATAGTTTGACCAGCAAGCATGCTGGACCTCCGACCCCTGCAGTTTGAGAGAAGACACATGCACTGTGCTGTGCTCAGCCTGTGGTGTGTGTTGCTGTGGAAGAGGCCACAAGGACACTAGGACATAGCTGTTCCATTCTGTGTCACTCTAGCTGACACCACCATCAGAGCCAGCCCTGGCACTCTGGCCACCCTCGCTGATGTACTGGGGTGGGCAGGCTTTCCTAGTCAGAAAAAAGCATCTGTCCCTATGGCATCTGTCAGATGCTCACCCCCTCCTGCCTGTGGGTTAGCCAAGGGGAGCCTTAGATGGCATTTCTGTTCTGGGCAGGCCTGTCCCCTCAGTGACCCCAAGAACAGGGATCAGCAGACGGTCTGGTTCCCCTCACTCCTTCCCTCTCTTCAAGACCATCCTCAATAACCCAAATGTGCTGGGACCTCTAACCCAGACACACCCTGCAGAATGGTGGACCAGTGGGGTGGGCTGGTCATTCAACTATCTGGAAGTTTCACCTGCTGACCTCTGGACACACCCCATCATTTCCTATGCTGCATGGGATAGTAGCCCCCAAATTTGTGCCCCTTGAAGCTCAGAACAGGGTCTCTGTAGATATCTGAATTAAATTAAGAAGAAGACATACTGGCTTGGGCCAGATCTGTGGCTGGTCCCTTTTAGAAGAGGATTCAGACTGTCTGAGAAAAAAATGAAGATGGACACACAAACTGAGAGGCCCAGAGCCCCAGGGGGCTGAGGTCACTGGCAGCCAGAGGCTGGAGGAAGCTAGGAAGTTTCCTAGAGCTTTAGTGCAGCCCTAGGCATCTTGGCTTGGGACTTCAGCCGAGGGAGACGGTCCTGACTGTTTAAGCCCCTCTGTTTGTAGGAACATGTCACAGCAGCCCCAGGAACCCCACCTGTCTTCCAAACTCCCATCCCAGTCAGGTTCCACCCGCTGTTCCACTCATCAGCCTCCCACTACCACAGCACTGTGGACTGGTAGTGTAGCCATCAGCACTGGTGGTCTCTTCCTCAGGCCAGTGTCACCACACTGCTCCCTCTAGCCTCACGCAACCCTGACCTGCAGGCACGCATAGCTGACCAGCTACTTCTAGCTCAACCTCTACCAAGCCCTGCCCCGGGTTTCAAAAATCTGGGACACACATGACCTCCTTGACCCTCCACCTGCAGTCCATGACCTGTGGGCCCTGATACAGGGTGGACATGCTGGTTCAAACCCCGAACAATTTTCAGAGTGATGTCTGCACAGACCACGCCCGTGAACCGGCACTATCCCCAGCAAGCTGACCTCTACGTGCTGAGTGTCCAACCACAGAAGCTCCCCCACCCTGGCCTGTCATCAGATCTGGCTGAGGTCTCCCGTCTGGTTCCATTTCTGTCCTGATTCCCACAGAGCACCTGCCAACCCTTTTCTGGAGAAAGCCACCTCACATCTCCCGTGCTTGAGTGTCCCCAGCTCACCCTCAAAATGACAGTCCTCATAGCACATACCTGCACATACCCCAGCACACTTTCAGTGCTAGCCTGGGCTGTTCCGGCCACTCAGCCTCCCCAGTGCTCTGTCTGGGCACCCGGCCTCTGCTTCCACATGGAGGGAAGGCAGGTCTACCTTGGCCGAGGAGCCCGGGCTGGTGTGGCCTTCATGGCCTTGGTGTGCCTGGCCTGTCCCTGAATGTTCCTGGCAAGGGCTATGTCTTTTCTGAAGGAGTAACAAAGTCTTCTCTTGACTTTATTACACATCGGAGGTCTGAGGGGCCTCATGGGAAGGAGCCATGGCTCTGCAGCAAGCCCCAAGGGTTCCCCTTCCAAAAATCCCATTTCCACCCAGGAAGCAGAAAAATCTATTTCCGCAGACTCACCTCAGCAAAGGCTGGGGCTGGTGCACAAGGCCCCAAGGCCAGAGGTAGTACTGCACGGTGATGACCAGAGCCAGATAGCAAGCGGCCAGGGTACCTAGGACACTGATACACAGACAGGACACCATCAGAGACACACACAGCTGACGCCCAGATGGGCATCCCAGCTCTTCCCTGCCCAGTAGTGTAAGGCCATAAAAGCTTCCCCTGAACCTCTGTCCCTTCTCCAAACAGGGTGGTGGCTGGGCAGGTCCAGAGTTTGGACGTGTGGGTTCCAGATGGCCCAGCATCCTTGGGGATAGCAACTGTGACATTTTACCTCTCGCCAGTGAGCACCAGTCAGCTGCTGGGGGGCACCCACGTCAGGACAGCCTCAGGCTTTGTCACACAGGAGAAAAGGAGCCTGGCTTATCCCGAGGGCCATAAGAGCCCTCTGGGCTGCAGGTACAGAGGGGCTCAGCTTTGAGTCCTTGCAGAATGTCTGTCGGCAGGCCTTGGCTTTTCAACAATATTACAGAAAGCTTCAAGGCCAAAATGAATTTAAAAGTGTGCCCATCTGACTCTGTACCCTGTGTGGCTGTGTGTACGTGGAAAGCCTGCCATAGTTAAATTACAAGATGTACTGTCACAGTGGAATTTTATTCAGCTGTAAAGAAAAATGAAATTTAGAAATTTTTTGCAGGAAAGTGGATGGAACTGGAAAATCTTACACTGAGTGGAATAACTCGGGCTCCAAACGACACATAACCACATGTCCTTTCTCATACGTGGATCCTAGCTTTACATTTTAAGATTTGAGTGTTTAACCTGGAGTGCATGCAAAGAAAGGCCAGGGAGCCAGGAAGGGTCAGTGAGAGGGGAGGGGGTAGTACAGCAGGTGTGATGTTAGAGTTGAGGGGCGGAATCCTGGAGGTTAGATGGTTAAGCAGGGATGAGGGAAAGGAAAGGGTGGGGGTTAGCCAACCAAAACACAAGATGCATGAAAAATCCTTATGGAAACCCACAACTTTGTAAGCTAATTTAAAACTTCCTTTTTTTTCGATTTATTTATTTTATACGTATGAGTATATTGCCTGCATGTATGTAGGTGCACCTGTGTCACACAATGCCCACAGAGGTTAGAAGAGAGTGTCAGATTCCCCTGGAACTGGAGTTACAGACAGTTGTTAGCTGCCATGTGGGTGCTGGGAACTGAACCCAGGTCCTCTGCAAGAGCAGCCAGTGCTCTGAACCACTGAGCATCTCTCTAGACCCCATTTTTGTTTTGAGACAGGGTCTCACTATGTAGCCCTGGCTGGCCTGGAACTTCCTATGTAGACCAAGCTGGCCTTGATCTCACAGAGAGCTGTCTGCCTCTGCCTCCAGAGTACTTGGACTAAAGGTGTGTGCCACCACGCCCAGCTAAAACCACAATTAAATAAAACAACAACAAAACGAGTTTAAACAGATGCAGCCTGTGTGGATGGACAGTGCTGTTCCCAGGAGACATATAAGGTTTATTAAGTGACAATCTCAGTGCCAGGCATGGGATCTGCCCCCATGAGTTCTTGGTCAGTTCCAGTAGATGACCTCATGCCCATGGGGTGCGTGGTCAGCACTGGTTGGACTCAGTGGGTTAAAGAAGAAAATAGAGGACATGTTACAGGGAAGGAAAGGGAAGGGGGTGTGGAGAGGACCCCCCACATACAAACAAGCAAGCTATCACCAGTGCTCTTGGGTGCCCACTGGAACTAGATAGTGAGACTATTCTGAGGATATCACACTTTGGTTGCAGGATATAGATCAATCTGGAGCTGACTGAGAAACATCCTCCCTGCTGACCGGCTTTCAAAGTGCTAGAAGGTGCTGTGCAGGTCACTGGGGGAGAAAAGACACCAGTGGTCTTACCCAGCTCCGGACTGTACATGCTACAGTACCAACCTGCCAAGCAAGATGTGCCCAGGGCTACAGTGGCCTGACCATTCAAGTAACCAACCGCTTTCTGGTTGGATTTGAGGCCTGCTCTGCAGGAGAGAGTGCATGTCTGATACTGTGAACTGGTCAAAAGCCCAAGGCTCAGGAGATCTTGGGCCCTAGAGTGGGAATCTACCTCTGTTGTTTTGGTACATGGTCATGTCAAACTGACTTCTAATATCTACATTTACACTCATACATTAAGTGAGACTCTTGACCTTGGAGAAGCTTCTTTTGCAGTCCATTCAGAGCCATAACTGGTCAAAGTACTAAGAACAAGTGACTATTGAGTACCCAGCCCTAAATGAGACTGTAACAACCCTCTCCCTACAGGACTCAGAGAATACTGTATACAAAGGGGGTGGAAAGAATGTAAGGGTGGGAGGGTGTGGAGGAGCACTGTGTCCTCTGGACATGCCCTGGGCATCGCACTCCCCTCACAGCAGCCGTAGTGGCCTGCACAGGACCTGCAGGAAATCAAGCCAGTCAGCATGCCGGGCTCCCGAGGCCCCACCCCTAGGGAGGAGCTACAGGCAGCTGTTGGCTGCTGGGGAAGGGAGAATTCATTTTCTTTGGGGGTGTGGCCCATGGTAGGTTATCTGTACTCCAGAGGATGGCCTCCCACCCATGATAGCTCAGCAGTTATGAATGCTGGTTGTTCTTGCAGAAGACCTGGGTTCGAATCCCAGCACCCACACGGCAGCTAACAGCTGTCCATAACTCCAGTTCCAGGGGATCCGACAGTCTCTTCTGTCCTCCACGGGCATTGCACGACATGGGTGCACTTACCTACATGTAGGCAATACATACATACACATAAAAAAATTTTAAATTAAAAAAAATATACATTTAGAAAAAGTAGAAAAGAGGATGTGAAGGTGAGGGGACGTGTTGGAGGGGTGGAGGGAAGGGAGAATTGGCTGTGGGGTGTAAGATGTCTTGCATCCCATGTAAGATGCAAGATGTCTTGTATACGTACAGAAAACTGTCAAAGAATAAATTAAAAATTATGTTTTTTAAAAACAATTTATTGCCAGGCGTGGTGGCGCACGCCTTTAATCCCAGCACTCAGGAGGC